TGTCTCTGTCTCTGTCTCTGTCTCTGTCTCTGTCTCTGTCTCTGTCTCTGTCTCTGTCTCTGTCTCTGTCTCTGTCTCTGTCTCTGTCTCTGTCTCTGTCTCTGTCTCTGTCTCTGTCTCTGTCTCTGTCTCTGTCTCTGTCTCTGTCTCTGTCTCTGTCTCTGTCTCTGTCTCTGTCTCTGTCTCTGTCTCTGTCTCTGTCTCTGTCTCTGTCTCTGTCTCTGTCTCTGTCTCTGTCTCTGTCTCTGTCTCTGTCTCTGTCTCTGTCTCTGTCTCTGTCTCTGTCTCTGTCTCTGTCTCTGTCTCTGTCTCTGTCTCTGTCTCTGTCTCTGTCTCTGTCTCTGTCTCTGTCTCTGTCTCTGTCTCTGTCTCTGTCTCTGTCTCTGTCTCTGTCTCTGTCTCTGTCTCTGTCTCTGTCTCTGTCTCTGTCTCTGTCTCTGTCTCTGTCTCTGTCTCTGTCTCTGTCTCTGTCTCTGTCTCTGTCTCTGTCTCTGTCTCTGTCTCTGTCTCTGTCTCTGTCTCTGTCTCTGTCTCTGTCTCTGTCTCTGTCTCTGTCTCTGTCTCTGTCTCTGTCTCTGTCTCTGTCTCTGTCTCTGTCTCTGTCTCTGTCTCTGTCTCTGTCTCTGTCTCTGTCTCTGTCTCTGTCTCTGTCTCTGTCTCTGTCTCTGTCTCTCTCTCTCTCTCTCTCTCTCTGTCTGTCTGTCTCTGTCTCTCCCCTGATAATTAATGACAAACAACTGGGTAGGGGTATCAGTAACAACAAAAATGTATTAAATAACAACACAGTAATCAATGATCATTACAACTATGTGCAATTACTAATAATACACTATCAACACTATCCCTAGTTACCCTACACAGGTGGTGCTAGAGAGCAATGATGGCTTCTCTCACACTTCATCAGCAGCAGATGCAGGCAGCACCACTCACACAAACACCAAACAGAAGAGATGTCGGTGCCCTGTATCCTCACTCCACACATACTAGACCAGTTGTGCCTAATGATTCTCTACCCTTTGCTTCTTAGACTTGTAAGGTACATGCATACACTGGATCCCACCAGGTATTGGCTGCCCCGAGCTCTCCAGCTATGACATTCGAGGCGCGCACCTTTCACCATTCTATTTAGTCTATAGGGAACAACCGCAACTTCAGGCTGGAATCCCACTCGAGTCAAGGAACACATTGACATCCACAATACAGTTCGCAGCAGGCAGAGAGCAATCTGTCCTTTTTATGCGGACAATTCACTGACATCTGTCAATCAACAAAACAGCCAATCAAAAGCTTGTGCACATGTTATTAGCCCTTTTCACATGTCACTATCATGCACACGGCACTCAACCAATCAAGTCACTGCCCAAAAGGGTGGAGAAACATTATTTAAAAAAAATGAATTAAAAAAAAAATCCATTGTTTTTTATTTAAATCAGATTTTTTTTACTTAAGCATAGTTTTTATATTTTTGTTAAGATGCTTTAAACCCCCCCCCATATAAAGATAATTTTAATTTAAGATATGTTAGAGCACAAAGATCATTATGGAATAGGGATTATAACTTCTAATTATATACTATTTCAGACAATATATTCATATAACCTGTTCCTGCTCATCAGCGCTATTGTCTCAATACAAGTTTGTGTACACAGAGCGAAGCCCATACCTCTTTCTAACAGCGCAAAGTTTCAAGAAGTTAAATGAATAGAGGATTGTTGGGGGTGGAGTAGATCTGGGCAAGGAGAAGGAGTCTGGAGATAAATGCAGGCAGGGAGGGGCAGTAAAAACAGGAGAGAAACATTTTGAGCAGATTATTCCAGAAGTCTTAAGGGAAAAGTTTCCGAAAATAGCCTCTCCACTGATTTGAGATCCAGTGAGGGAATGGAATGGTAGAAGGGAAAACCTATCATGGCAGTAGGTTTGCCAGGCTGTAAAAGAGACCCTGTTTGGGACTATTTTAACGAAGGCTATATCAAACAATGAGAATATACTTTTTGTAGAAAATAGTGATTAAGTTGAGGCTTCCTGTCCAGTGATTTTAAATTGATTTAATTTAAATCAAATCCATTCTGCTTGCCCAATCAACCCAGAACTTTCCTTTCATCTGAGCATGTTCAGATCTGGAAAGTGAGTAATGAGGTAATCAGGGTTCAGGAGTTCAACCGGACCTGAACCTTTTGCATTCACCTCACTCCGGGCATGTGCCACCTTACGCACTTCACTTAACCTAAGTAAAACACTAACCAGGCGAGGGGATGCTACGGTGTCTCAGCCAACACTGCCTGCAACTGGGCTGCTGCTTCGACTATGTGCAGCTTGCTACAGACCTGTTAATCATTACCCTTTTCTTGCGACTATTGAGCCAGTTATCTATCCACCTTGTAGTATTTTTATCTAACCCATGTTTCTCCAGTTTGTTTATGAGAAGGTCATGCAGGACCTTGTCAAAAACCTTGCTGAAGGCCAGATACGTTATATCCATGGTGCTCCCTTTGTCTACCCAAGTAATTAGTTGGTTAAAGAAGGATATCAGGTTTGTTTGGCACCGCTGGTTTTTCATAAATCCACGTTGGCTGCTTGTTCAATCTTTTCTCCTTTCTGCAGGCTTCCAGTTCATCTTGTTTATTTCCCATACTTCTTGCATTTGTATATATGCATTGGATATATTTTGCGTTTTGACCGTCTCACTTCATTCTTGTGCCAGTTGTTGCAGTTCTGTAGCTCTCTGGCCCTTTTCCAGAGTTGAATTGCTGTTTTGAGTCTTTTCCCCCTCAGGACTGTGTGCTCTGTTGCTGGAGGGTTTTGATCACCATTCCCTGTGGAACTTAGTTTAAAGCCCTCCTTACTAGGTTGGCCAGACTCCATCTAATGATGCTGTTGTCAGGTGGATCCCAAGATCATTTCATAGAAGAGTAAAGCTGGAAGGGACCTCATAAGATCATCTAGTCCAACTGGGAATCAAACCTGCAACCTTGGTGTTATTAGCACCACGCTCTAGCCAACTGAGTTAAACAGTCATTTTCCTGTTGCTGAGGAAGCCAAAACATTTAGGTCAACACCACCGCCTCAGCCATGCATTTATTTCCAGGATATGATGATCTGTGCCTGGACCCTTGCCTTCCACAGGAAGAATTGATGAGAATACCACTTGTGCGCCAAGCTCCTTAATCCTCTTTCCAAGATCCTCATCGTCGCTTCTGATCTGCTTAGTGTCATTCTGCACAGTTATCAGTACTACCAAGAGTTGTCTTTTCCTTCTGCTATAGTATTTACAGTAAAAGCAAAGTTCGAAAGGGGGAAAAAAAGGAAAATATCTTCCTTACTTAAAATTATGCGTATCTGTCACATGACTTGCCCTATATCCCAAAGAAGCAAGTTACATGATGTCCCAAAGAGAGAGTTTATTAATGATTTGGGAATCCATAATAGAAATACATTGTGTGGTATATGTAACCTGCAGGAACTTACTGTGACTGAAGTTTAACCTCCCCCCAAGTTTCCCCAAGTTATATGACAGCTGCTGTATACCTTTAAGACAGGGGTGTCATCTCATCCAGTGTCATGGGCCAGATGAGTAGTGTGGAGCAGGTCTTTGGGCCAGATCCAGAATATGGAGCCATTTTATCTAGCCCACAGGACTGAAAATTTGGTGGTGGGGAAATCAGCACCAGTATTAATTGCAGCAGTTTCCACAGCCACAGCAGCTGGTGCTCATCCAGTCACCAAATATCTGACCCACAGGGCTGAGAATTTGGCTCAGAGATGAGCAGCAGCAGCATTAGTTCCTGGGTTTCTGGGAGCGGTGATAATCAACAGTGCCACTGTTTACCCTACTGCAAAATTTCCAGCCCCATGGACTATGCCTTTGACACCCTTGCCTTAAGGTAATGACAGTTAATGATTATTATCACTGTTAATTATTATAACTAAAAATAAGATAGTGACATAAGTACATTTTTATCACTTAAGGTATGTGGTATCAATAGTGATACTTGCAATATACTTTATTTTACCCAAATCCAAGATGGCTTTGAATTTAAGATAACTCCCCCACAATAATTAGATTCTGTACATGGAAAACTTCTACATTTTGTATCAAATATTTCATCTGATTACTGGGGGTAGGGGGTCATCTTAAATGCATCTCTCCTACTGTTACAGTGGGGAAAGCAGCAGCAGGTGGGGGCTATTCCATTTCCTCCCCCATCTCTAGTTTCTGCCCCCTCTGGGCCCAGCAGGTGTGGCTCTGGCCCCATTTTAGCCTGGGACACAGAGCACAGGGTAGCTCTGGCCCTGGCCCAGCCATGCAGCAGTGTTTGTGGCCATGGCAGCACCAAGCCCTGGGACACCAGATGGAGTGGACCAAGGTGGGGAGGACAGCTTCTGCCTCTTTGACCCTGAACCTGTGTCAGGGCTGGAGTTTGAGCCACAGCAACCCCCTGTCCCCCTTCTGGCTTGCATTCAAATTGAGGAAAAGGTTTCCCCTTTGAATGTGGAAATAAAATCTTGTCTTGGATTCAAGTAAATATCATAGATAGGGTATAGGCCTTTTTATAATCATGTTGACCAATCTTTTTTCTCAAGTACAAGGCATTATTATAGATGTATTACCAGCACAAGAATGGCACTGATTGTGGAGAGTATTACCATATCTGTCATTTTAAACTAGAGATATGTAACTGTGTTTGCTTTTCTGAGTTTGTCTTTAAGGTACCATTTTAAAACAAGTTGTCTGTGAGGGAGTTTATTTTGTGATAAAACATTATTTTTCATCTTAGCTGTGTTTTATCTTAGCTCTGTAAGGAAAAGAATCAAGAGTAAACTTGTGCTTACAGTGGACATTTATAGTGAATTACATGGTTGCAGATAGACTACAGCTTTCATACTAAACATTTCTCTTGTTTGGTATCTGTCAGCACAGGTATGCAAGTTGGATGCCACAAAAGTAGTTTGATTTGTGGAATAAAAGGACTCATGCATTTTTTCACATTTTTTCCCCTCAGAGCTTACACAAATTGAGGACCCAAGAGAGCAGTGGAGAAGGGAGCAGGAACGCATGCTAAAGGAATATTTAATTGTTGCCCAGGAGGCACTTAATGCCAAGAAAGAAATTTACCAAATTAAACAGCAGCGTTTTGAGCTGGCTCAAGAAGAGTATCAGCATCTGCATAAAATGTGTGAGGATGACAACCGTTCCTATGCCAGCTGTGAGTTTGTTCTTCTGCTAATACACTTTTCTCACTATTTAGCATTCACAAATTTATTTAAGAACTTGTCCCCATTACTTTATTTTTTGGTGATGTAAACAAATTTAAATTACTCATGAAGAAGCTCATATTAAATTCTTAGAGGAAGTTGTACCTTAACAGGTGGGGGGAAGCCCCCTCAAAGGCATTTTTCTTTGATATAAGTAGCAATTTCATTTGAACTTGCTTTTTTGCAGGGTGGTTTCTTAGGACAGAATACTGCTCTTTTTATCTGTGTGTAGAATATTGCAGGTATTAGTGTAGTAGTTAGAGTAGACAGTCTTACTTTCTGCTTCTGAAAGCAGAAAGTAAGACTGCTCCTGCTACTACTAATGCAAGCCCTAGATTGCATTAATGAAAAATACCTCCTTGATTCAAATATTTTAAGGTACGTTTGGACCTGATAAGATGGATTTGCTTCAGTTTGTTCATACTTGAAAAGACACTAATATCAACCTATTATGTTAATCTACAGTACTGTATACCAGCAGGTAGCAAATCTAACAGCCTTTAAACTAAGTCTTGGAAGACTGAAAAACTTCTTTTACAACATCCTACACCATTGATTTTTTATATATATAGATATAGCCTCATAACATAACATAAATAATTGTTTAGGCTAGAAATAATCAAACAGGTTCTTTTAAGAGACGAAAGTTTAGTAAAGGATACCTTTGGATAGCCAAAACCCCCCCAGTATGACCTTAAAATTAGTTCCTTCCCTTTATTTCCCCACTAATTAATTTGTCCTTGCTAGTTTTTTTTTTCTCTATCCACATGTCATTTTACTTCCTTTGCTTGTACATGTCCTGTAAACTTCTGCTTTCGGACTGCTTTTATGTGCTGCCGCCTTGTACATTTTAAGATATGTTGCAGGACCGATCTGCCTTGGCCTTTAAAATCTCTCGTGCTATGACCTACATAGTTAGGTTTTGGCTAAATTATACCCAAGATTTCCCATACCTTCTGATATTTAAATTAAAAGTTCCAGGGTTCCAGCTGAGAAGCAGCTAAAGGATAACAAGAGAAATGGAAGATTGGGTGCTGGCTCATGGTATATCGGTTGGACAAGAAACCTGCTGAATATTGCAGGGGAGAAAAAGAAACGGTGTGGAATAACATCTAAGGGTGCAGACAGAAGTGCTGCTCCCCACTGTAACTCAGAATGATTTCTGCAAAGAGTTCTGAGTTATAACATTACCCCAGACCAAACAGAAGTTCCATGTTGGTTTCAGTGGTGAGAGGAATCTAGCTGCCTGCTGGGAGTCTGCAGTCAGGGTCCCATAGCAGTGGCCATAGCTCTTTGCCAGTGCCCAGTGCTTGCTTTTTTCAGAATGGGAGGGGAGAGAGGCAGCAGAGGGAACTTGTTCTTGGGGCTCCCCAGCCAGTGCTTAAGGGTGGGGTGGGTGAATTGGAGCCCCCCTCCCAACATCTGGGCATGGGGATCCAATATACCTGCCCCACCCTTTTGGAGGGGGTGGAGGCTGAAAAAACCCAGACTGAACTCCCTCTGTTCCCTTTCCCCCCATCCCATTCTGAAAGCAGCTGGGAGCTCTGCAGACACAGGTTACAGAAGTTGCTGCATTTTGAAATGTCTTTTTTTGATATCTCATGCAACAAAGGGTCAGATTTTCATCTGCTTGGCCATTTTTGAAGATGTTTGCAGCCATGCACTTGTGTTTGGTCACATCTATAAAGTGCTTTCTATGGCCAGATTGGGCGAAAATTCTCACTTCTGTCTGCATCCTCAGTGGCTGGCTGGCTTAATGCCTCTAGCATCAACAAGGATTAACAGAGGCACGGAGAGAGAATTTAGTTCTTCATACCCTGGATCATTCTTGTCGCCCTTTTCTGTATCTTTTTTTTTGTTTGACCTTTTGGTAGTGGGGGCACGCCATAATTACATGCATTATTCAAGGTGTCGGTGTTCCATAGATTTATACAATAATAGTGACAGATTAGGAATTCCTTTGGGTACACGTGGTGGACTCCTGACAGTCTCCTGGGTAATTTCAGTCTCATTCAGATAATAAGGATTCTGTAGAAACCTGCTACTACTAACCTGTATAAGAGAGAGACTAGACAACTCAAGAGATTTCTTACGATTACGATACATGAAGGAACTCAGTTTTGCTTATTAGCTAATTGTTAAGTTCAGTAAAGCACTTTTAAAGTAGCTGTGGAAACTAATAGCAGAAAGAACATATTACAGTTCCCTGCACAACAGCTATGAAAAAGGCTTTATTTAAAAAAAAAAAAACCACAAAAAAACCAAAGGCCATACAGTGTAAAAAGTATTCAAAAACTATATGCTAGGAAGAAATTAAAATAGTTAACAAAGAAAACAGCAAATAGTTATTTTATTTAAAAATACAAGGAATATATGTACTGAGGAAACATTCAAACAAATGTATTTATTTGTATTTAAAATAGATGCTGCTGGCACATTTATTAAAGAAAAAGATTTTTTTTTCTTTCCAGCTTTTTTTCCTCTACTCAATATTATGTTTACATTTATGTTGCTACATTCATTATATCATATGTTTCTGTGTTGAAAAACTCTGATGTCCCAAAAAATTGTGATTCAATTTCAGACAGAAATTGAAAGAAATAATAGAAACAGAGAAAGAAATTATAGAAATAACCAACACCCCCATATCTGAGGTTGCATATGCATCTGGATAATAGAGGAGACAAAGCTCACGCAGATGCTGATAATTTCTGCAATGCATACTCCCCCTATTTTCTCTGGATACATGGGTTTAGGACTATGCCAATTTTGTTAGGGATAGTACTTGTTAGTACTTGTTAGGGATAGTCCCATCCCCTCAAATGGAAGTCTGTAAATTATCCTGCATCCAGGATTCTTAATGTCAGGAGTAGAAGACCTAGCCCATAATCATAGCTGATCAGTCTCCCCTAATTCCTCCCTTATGTTTTGTGGCACTTTTATCTGAGTAAGATTGAAATTACCCAGGAGATGTCAGGAGTCCACCACGTGTACTCTTAGAATCTATGCCAAAAACCTCTCTATTGGTCCAAGACTCCAGTGGCAAAATCCATTATTGCAAGCCACCAGCACTATAAAAAAAAAAATCTGTATGTTGTTCAGAAGATAGGAACTTAGTGTTTTTGGTCCTGTAAGTCATTTTTTTTTTATTCTGTACAATACTAGACATTGAAATTACAGCAGTTAGATTACCATATTTCTTCTCACTTAAATTCTGGCATAACCATAGTCACTGCAATTGCAAACACTAGTGTACACAAAAACTAAACTTATCTTTTGTGGTGTGACATTGGTTGCTAACATCACTTCAAAATTGAGATGAGAGAAAATACCATTTTAAATTAGTTTAAAACAGGAACATCAGGCTATTAAATTTTTTCCCCCCACAATTTTCTTAAGTCTTATGGAGTTATTGAAAATTAATTTTGTGGAGCTATAGCAAGTCATTTTACACAGAAATTTTTGTTACATATATGCGGAGAAAAGGTTCTGTTTTTATTTTGTCGGTATAGATAAGCTACAATAGCCCCATCCATTTCTTTAAAAAAATACAAACTTAATTATAGCAACAGAGTAGAATACAAATAACAATTCAGACTTTGCTCTAAGATTATTGGAGCAGTGGTGAAATAGTTTCTGGATTTACTATTTTATTTCCTCCTAATATAGTTTAAAACTCAATAACCCAGCAAAATATTTGAAAACTATTTTAATAAATCTTTAATTTATCCACTAAGCCTTATAAAAATATGTACCAGTATTAATGTGTTCAGGGTTAGTAAATAGTTCTAACGCTTTGGTTTTGGATTGGATCAAGCAATTCTGAAAAATGCAGAGGCCTGGTTGATCATCTGGGATCCTGGTTTTCTCTGTTTAAAAAGAGCAAATTCTCTGATAATCACAAATTCTCTGACTAAAAACCCTAGAATCCATGATTAAAATGAAATCATGGATCAATTGAACACAATGTTTTATTGTTATATTGACAATTTTTAAGCAGTTTGGTGTGCGGGTCGGCTCCCAATCCCATCCTCGCCATGTGTGAGCCGGGCCCGTCTTTGCGCACGCGGACTGTGTCCAGCAGCCCGGGCACGCGGGGCCGAAGAAAACCGCGGGGCGGTAAGGTACGCGCGAGCTAGAATCAGTTACGGAGGCGTAATGGTTGATTAAAAAGATTATTTACTTACACCCAAGGTGGTCACGGTGTAGGCTGGACAGCTTTCCAGGCGCAGCTCCACTTGAATCCTCGTTGGAGGACTCTGACAAACTCGGTTCTTTGACCCCGGAGTGGTTTAGGCTCCGCGGGTTCGGCAATTCTTTCCTCATGGAGTGGCTGAATCTCCGTGGGTTCTGTTCGGTTCCCAGGTCCCCCGGAGCTGTTAAGACTCCGTGGGTTCGAAAATTGGGTATATAGGATAGGGATACATCTAGGATTGCGCTCGGTGATGGGGAGAGGCAAGAAGCTAAACGGACCTCCGTTGCCTGCTTAAGAAAGGTGCGTTGGGTCCGCAAGGGTCCACATCGCTTGGAGATCTTCACACAG